AGTGGCCCCTGCCTATTAAATATTGATTTGGACTACCGTGTTGGCTATTACCCCCTTGACAGGAGGCACTTCACTTTACTGTAATGCTGGCACACCCTACCTGTTCAAACACAACAAGGGCTGGTCTACACAGGTAGTTATCTTGGCTAAGAAGAGCTCCCTTTATATATACTAATTCCAGACTAAGGGTGCCTTTGAAAATAGAGTTCAACTCTTACTCTAGAATGAAAATTCCCGAAGGGGCTATTTCAAAATAGCTATTGCAGCCTCTTTTGAAATACCTCTTGCTGTTTATTTCCTTAGTGTTTGTCTCTTGTACCAATCACACTGGCTGCATACCAGCCTATACCATGGCTGACGTCTTTTTTCATGGAGAAACTGAAATTTTACACATTGATCACAAAATAATACTTGAGAATTCTTGCAAATCGTGTGCAACAATGCTAGGAAGGAAGTTTAGTTTTTGGCAAAATAATTACTGTATGTGATTAAAGCATTTTAGATGTACAAGTTGACAGTAGCACCATGTCTACAATAGACTTTTAGAAATCTCCCATCACTGCAGTGGGAATGGTAAAATATGTAGGACAAAAGGAATTTAACTACATTGCTGTTTAACCCTGTTTAGATGCAAAATGTTTGGTGGCCTCTTGAGCACTCTTGCTGCTAGTGGTAGTACATAAGTGACAAGTTGTTTTTTTCCCCCAAACAAATACCCTGTCCACTTCTGAGTAACCCAGTCTGACTCCTGTTGAAGTTGTTGGTAAGACTCCTGTTACCTTCCATGAGTTATATCAAACCCCACTTGCTGAAGACCGAAATCATGGCATTTATTTCACTATTTTCCCCATGACTGGGGATGGACTATTGCTTTGTTACATTGACTTATTATAGGTCTTTTGGGAGCCACAGCTTAAAGATTACATTCTGGTGTCCATTATAAACAATACCTCATTCTTGTGTTGGAGCTGAAATTTTCCATGCTTGATTACAGCCCCAAGTGATTTTTTTCTTGGTTTAGCTATTTGAGCTGTGGAAGAATAAGAGAAAATAATTTCATAATGGCAGCAGGTAGCACAGGGTAGCACCTTATAGACTAATTAGTTCAGAGAGGTATGAGCTTTCATGTCATCATACAAAAGCAGCCCATGAAAGTAGATTGTTGCCTACAATAAGGAGGGACTCCCTTTCACCTGCTCACTCTCTGGAGCCTACCCTCTGCCTGACCTCAGACTAATGCAATTAACCACCTCCTAACTTCACAGTTAATCAAACAATGTAATCAAGTGCCACTATAGGAATGGCAGTACCATTATGCCACACCTGCTCAAAATTCAGACAAAACTTCCTGCTAACTGGCCTTTAACACACACTGAACCCTTATTTTGATGCAGTTCAGGCAGCTTTTAAACAATAGTTTTTCAACTACTAGGCTAGGGACAGAAGTTACATATAAACTGACTTAAGTGATCAGGAACTGGTTTAAACCTGTAGCAGAACAGACGTTCAGCGCACTTAAACTGTTTTCAAAATGGCTGAAACAGATTTAAAACAAACCTGGATGGATGTAGTATCAGACTTAACTTGTTTAGGTAAAACCAGTTTATGGAACTTCTATCCCAGATCCTCTCCTGATTCAACTTAACTTACAGTCTTCCAGCATCCCAGGATGCTGAGCAGTGCTGGGCTGTGCTTTCAATTCTAGCAGAGCAGGACAGCCCCATCCCCAGCTGTAAAATGAGGCTTTTCCATTCCAGGCAACCAGGAGCCAGGTGGATTTCCTGGGGTGAGAAGCCTGCAGTGGAGGCCATCCTCCCCCACCCCACACATACATCTGCTCAGCCAGCCTGCTGGCTGAGGAACGAGTGGGGGTGAAAGAAAGCCTCCATTGCAGGCTTCTCCTCCCCCACCCCCCATGCCTAGCACAGCTGGCTGGGGGTCTGGAGCTGGGTGGTTGGACAGGGGCATTCCTCCCCACCCCATTCCCACGTCAGCTGGCCAGCTGGCCAAGGAGGGGGCATGGCTGGGTGATTGGCTCAGCTCTGGGTACAGGGGATGAGGTGGAAGAGAAGGAGAAATGCCCCACTGGGGGCCTCCCCTTCTCCCCTTACCTCCATGCCAATGAGACCTTGTCTGGGGGTCCAGTGCAGGTTTCAGAGGGTTCCCCCCACACACCTTCCTAAGTGGGCCTGGATTCCTAAGTGTGGCTAGGGGGACCAGATCTGTGCATTGGGGGGCGGGGGGAGAGAAAGGGAGAAATGCCCCATTGAGGGCTTCCCCCCTTCCCTGGCACTGGGGAGACTCTGGCTGGGGGTCCAGTGGGGGTGGACGGCTTCCCTCCACATCCCCTCCTCAACTGGTTGGGGGAATCCCCAGTCTCCTGGCTCTGCAGTGACCAGAAGACGGGGAGGCATGCTCTAGCACCTCCCAGCTCCTGGTATGGGGCACTGCAGGGGTCTGGCTACCTTTCTGGTTTGAACATCAGTTCACTTTCATACTGGTTCAGTCTAGGTAGTTTATAGAAACCTGAAAATATTGAAATGATTCAGCCCCAGGCTTTTTGACTGTTGGTACTTAGCCTCAACATTTTGAATGGGAGGGTTATTGATCATGATTTTTCTTGCACGATTCTGTATTTTTTCTCCACTTTTCCCAGAGTGTATCTAAATAATCTTCCTTTTTGCTCTCCACATCCACTAGCCACCATTATTTCTCCCTACTTATCTCCTTTTCCAATTAAGGAACTGGTCAGTAGGGGTGTGTGAAGTGGGCCCTATTCAGTTCAGATTTGGATTAGGCCCAAATCAGGGACAGTGATTCATTTTGTTGATTCAGATCACTGTTCCTGATTTGATTTGGCCAAATCTGAAGATTCGATGCTGATTTGGAGAATCAACAATTCGGACATAGACACATCTTTAAATATTTTTTCTACATACCTTGAGGTACCAGTATGGCTTGTGAATGCTGTAATGCTGGGGTGGATGGAGCATCCCATGGGGGGGCGGGGGTCCTCCAGGTGCTTGGTGGCAAGTCTGGGAGTGGAATGGAAGTACTTCCAGTCCACTTCTGGGTCCACCAGAGAGCATGCAGGGGACCCCCCTGTGGCCCCCTGGGTTGGCAATCAGCTGCTCCAGGTGCCCCCACTGGACCCAGGAGGGCACAAGTTGCTGAGCCAGGGCGGGGCATGGGGGGCTCTCCTGCACACTCCCTGGTGGACCCGGAAGTGGACTGGAAGTGCTTCTGGTCCACTTCTGCGTCTGCTGCTGAGTGTGCTGGGGAGTGCCCCCATTCTTCTGTGGGACACTTAATATGCCCCAGCATCGCAGCATTCATGAGCCACCTGCTACCTAGAAGTATGTAGAAAAAATATTTAAAGCTGAGTCTATGTAGGAATCTCTGAATCTTTCTGAATCTCTCCAAATCGATTCGGAGGGTTCCGATTTGATTCGGAGAGATTCAGTTCAGATTCAGAGATTCGGTCACCGAATCAGGCTGAATCTGCACCGAATTGAATTGGACCAAAGCTTCACACAGCCCTACTGGTCAGTAGGTCTCCAAATATAGAGGTTTAGTATTTCAGAGAATGAGCAAATGAAAGAGAGTCAAATGCAAGGAAATTGGCAAGTTGGTAAACTGAAATCCTGCCTTTGTTGAGATCACTGACAATTTGCTAATAAATTTAGTGGGGCCAGGCCTTGTCCCTACACTTTTATTTTGTGTGTGGCCCTCTGAATAGGGTTTTCAGTAGAGGTAAGTCTAAACCTCAATTTTTGCATGTTAACAGAATTTAGAACTTGGGTTAAGATGGAAATACTGAAAAATGCAGGCATTTTTTGTGTAAGTAGTTACACATTTTTAATTGAAAATTTTTTAGAGTTTCTTGGGGTTTATTCTCAAAGGATTTCAAACTCACCCATGGTTATTTCTAATGACCCTGATTGTGGAAAATTGTCACAAAAGGATGTCACAAAAGCTGCAATCTGCAGTTGGGAGACAGAGAAGCCAGCACTTGTCCTGGTATAGTAAGAGAAACCACGAAGACTGTTATGTCCAAACTGTTCCACAAAGGAAAATGGCAGCAGGATGGAGTACAGCACCTGCTAAATGGCTCAAGAGGACAACACTAGTGTGGTATTTTTTCCATTGCAGTACTATAATAATAGCCAATAATCCCATCTGCCAACTGTTAAATACATTCCCGGCTACCAAGTGGGTGGGTATTTCACTTATGCTATACCACTGCAGGCACAAGGTAAAG